AAAACCCGACGGTGAAACATTACACCCCCCGCAGCCCAACACTGAGTAAAACATCACCCTGCAATGGAAACTCAAAAAGCTTATAAAGTCTGCTCTCACCTGCTGAGGGAATCTTCTCGGTGGGCGGGAGCTTCTCCGTCATGGCCATGAGGAAGACCATCATAGCCAACATTGAGTTGGTACCCAGGCCGATCTTCTCTCCAGATTCAGAGGGCAGCGAGAAGACCATCAAGGCTGCGGGAGGAGGAGAAGTGTCATCCACACCCCACACACACACACACGCACTCTCAGTTGTTCAAGGAGATCGTGATCCCAGGAAGGTGGAGCTTCTCTAATCTTCCTTCGATCAAAGCTGATGACCTCCCATTTTCCAGAAGCTGGATTTCTCACCTTCGGGTTTAGCGTTTCCAGGTAAATGTAATAATATTAATAATAATAATAATAATAATAATAATAATAATAATAATAATAATAATAAAATGTTTTTATTATTATTATTACACTGGTCTGCATATGGAATGATTTAATTTTTATTTTTATTCATGGTTGCGGTCTTACATATTCTTGAGCTGCTGATTGTAAATATCTAAACCATTTTGCTCTATCATGTAAGAATTTTGAATAAAATACAAATTAATATTAAAAAATGTGAATTTTTAATAAATTGTTACTTTATTAAAATCAGGCAAGTAGTCATGGAAAAGCACATTCTGTTAGTTTTAAGAACATGTGAATTCCAAATCAACATGAATCAGATCAAATGATTTTATTAAAAAAAATATGATCCTAATGGTTAGCCTACATACTGATTCAAGGGAAGGAGGAACGCTTTGATTTTCGCTTGTGCTGGGCATCGAGACCATTACGTTTCAATGACCAGCAGTAATCTGACATCATGCTGACATTCCATTTGCCCTAGTATCGAGTTTCTATGGTGCAAATATCCTGATGGAATCGCTCTCATTGTTCCTCACTGTAGTCCCCACAATTGTTGGAAAAATAGTCAAGATGTGAGTGCAAAAAGTGTGTCTGCACACTCATTCTAGACAGGTCTTAGATCATTAGCTCATATTCGGGGAAGCGCCTGTTTCCCAGGAAGTTGTGGACATTCTGCTTGAATGAAAACCAGACATTCACCTCGACCCTGCTAATGCTTTATCAAAATGCTTGTTCTTCATCAGTTCCGAATCTGAGGACCAACAAAGATTCCTCCTTTATTTTTACCTTCACTTATAAGAGGAAATTTTAAAACTCCAGGTAATTGAAAGCAGTTCCATTTTGTTCAAGACCTTCACAACATTTTCAACAGCCCTAATTTGATGTGGAGTGGTGGCACAGTTGCAGCTGCGTTGCCATTGTAGAGTAGTACAGCCTTTAAACTCTTTTTTAGGGAAAAATCAACGAAGATTCTCCATTCATCTGCTTTGTATGACATCCCCATGTGTTTTAATAAGGCCAGAAAAAATTTGAACAGAAAACTAAAGATTCCTCTTTGTCACAGAACTGAGTAAATTCCGCTTCACGATGACGGTACCAAGCGAATGTTGTTCCAGGAGCTAGAAAGCCTCCGATCCTTCAGTCTAGACCCAAGTAACTGTGCACTTTCTTTTGGAAGGTTTAAAAGGTCTCTCACCAAGTCATTGAGCTCAACTTAGCTGAAGGGTTTGGAATTGTCATGTGCTGGTGGTTCATAGTCTACTTCCATCTCCTTATAATCACTGGCATAAGATTTGATGAAATTTGCCATGTCTCAGGTGGCACAGGTACAGGAATATCTTCAGAGTGTGGAACAGGCCTTATTGTTTGAAGGAATATTTGGGTATATTAATGCGATCATTAGTCTTCTTGTTGAACCCAGCTACTTTAGTCATACAAAAGTAGCAGTCATCATGGTGGTTCATTTTCCGCCATACCATTGGTACCCCAAAGGGTCCCAAACTGACCAAATGGAGCTTACTGATGCAACTTTTGCAGGCTTTGTGTGGTCCAAATTGGTTTGCCCTGGTCTCCAAGTTTGCTGCCAAAATAAGAAAAGTAGCAGCGCTTCAATAAAGGAGTAATGTTGCTCCGGGAATCTGAAGGGTGAACTGCGGCAGACATAGCAAAATATGTCTTGTGAATTTATGTAGCTTCTGGGCATATTAATAATATGAAAATAAAGAAAAATATATTAGATTTAACATTTAGTCATTATAAGGTAAGCATTTTAACTGATAATATGTGTGCAACAGTTAGGTATCTTTATTTCGAAACGTTCGCCTACACGTAGGCTTCTTCAGTTCGAGTACAGAGGGTGATGGATGATTACATCGTCTTCAAGTATCTTCTGCTTCTATCAACTTTTCTGTACTCGACTGAAGAAGCCTACTGTGTAGGCGAAACGTTTCGAAATAAGATACCTAACTGTTGCATATGTGTCTTACCTAACAACCTGTCGGTATTTTATACCATTTTAATGTTCAACTGTAATATCCACATTTCTCATTTACTTATGTTATACGAAAAAGAGAAAAATAACCCTTTCCGTATAACTTGACGACCTGATGTGATAGAGATGAATAAGAAAAACAGGAATCACTATTTTCCATATATATACCGAGAAATATACCAGAGAGTCAATAAAAAAAAACATGCAGACCAGTGTTAGTATTAATTAATATTATTATATTAAAACACATCATATCGGGGAATTATTATTATATCAAGGGAGAAGCACTAAACCCGTATGATTATACCGCGCCTGTGGGGGGATGTGGAAGGTATTCAGATTTAATTCGGGGAACTGGAGCACATACCCAATTCCCTAGATCAAGAGCCCTTCACCAGCATAAAGGGAACCTTCCTTGAGGGGTCATACGGAAAAAAAAGACAAGGAGGGGAGGGGGAGAGAGGAGAGGGGGGAGAGAAGGAGAGAGAGAGGGGGAGGGAGAGGGGGTACTAAAATTTTTAATGGCCTGTATGGGGCAGTTGACTGGATGTAAACCTTCATTTTATGTTCTTATGGGAGGAAAAAAAACTGTGGCAGTTTTACAACCTTTGCCCTTTATGAGTTTTAAATGTCAGCAACAATCACCCCCGTGAAGGTTTTTGGGGGGGGGGGGGAGAAAGGGATGCCGACCCTGGGGCCACTGGGAGAGAGAAAAACCCCTTTGGGGCAGTCTCGGGAAATTTTTTTGAAAACCCCTTTCGGTTCGTTCGGGGACCAGAATCGGTGCCGGCGCACCGTAAGTTTCTTAAAATTGTCTCTCTAAATTACGAGTTAGTTGTAAAAGTGAGCGGGTTGAGTGAGTAAGGGTTATGAGTAGTGATGAGGAAAATGATGGAGATACATCCCCAAAAGTTGTGAGTTAACCGGGCAGATGAAGAAGAAGGGGAAAAGTAGAGGGTTCCCCCTCTCCCTGAAGATGGTGATGCTGTGGGAAGAACGTTCTTTTGTTGTATTAACACAAACACACCCCAGTGAAGATAAATATCCCGTTCACAAGTTTAATGTGAACAACAAAAAAATGTTCTACCGTCCAAGGACGGATATTTTTTTAATTCCAGTTTCCCCTAGGGTGTGATTTACACGCTGTTAAATATGTAGGAATCGACTTATATTTAAATGCCACATAAAAAACATCCCAAAATTTTTAGTGAAAAAATTTTAAAGACACAATAATAAAAAACCAATTGAACAAGCCCACTTTCTCTTCCCGGAGACTTCAATATAAACCTTGGCTCAGCCAGTAACAGATTTCATCAACAATATAAAAACAACACACTTCCATACCAACAATAACTAAACCAACCCCAGGTGACTGAGACAACTGAACCAAAATTGACCATATATGGACAATTTAAATAGCCCCCCTTTAAATCAGGGGTTAAAAAACCCGACAGAACTTTTTGACCACTTTCCCCCCCTTCCTCTTAACAAACATTAGTAAACCACTACTGGGAAAACAACAAAGTTTCTTTTGACTCCATGACGAGGCCTCGTAAGTTAAATTAAACAGGCTAGAGACTGTTGACGGCAACAGATTTTTCCAATGCCCCAAAGGTATGTGACTGGATTGACATTTTTTTTTATTATACACGGCCGATTCCCCCAAAGGGGGTGGCCCCCAAAAAGAAAAACTTTCACCATCATTACTCCACCTGTCTTCCAGAAAGGTGCTTTAACTACAGTTTTTTTAAAAAAAAAAAAAAATTAAAACCCCTCTTAGAGTGCAGGGATGTATTCCTTCCCGGGGTAAGTCCCGGGCCCGCCGGTTTCCTGAACCCTTCAAAATGTTCTTTGCTCAACTCCAACAGCACGTTAAATATTTTAAAAAACCATTTGTCTCCATTCATCCTATCAAAACACCTCACGCTGCCTGCTGGGGGAAGCCAAGCCCCTCGCTCCAAAAAACCCCCTTAACGCCCACTCTCCAACCTTTCCTAGGCCGTACCCATACCCCGCCTTCTTCCACTACAGACTGAATACACTCTGAATTCATTCTGTTTCCGCTCCATTCTTCTACATTCCCGAACCACCCTACAACCCTTCCTCAGCATCTGACAACATTTTGGTAATCCCGCACCTCCCCTAACTCTAAACTACGAATTCTCTTGCATTGATATCCACACCACACATTGCCCTCAGACATGGACATCTCCACTTGCCTCCAGACTTCTCCTCGCTGCCAACATTCATCACCCAGGCTTCACACCCATATAAGAGCGATGGTAAAACTATAATCCGCATACATTCCCCTCTTTGCCTCCAAGGACAAAGTTCTTTGCCTCCACAGTCGCCTAAGTGCACCACTTCACTCTTTTCCCCAACATTCAATTCTAGGATTCACCTCTTGTTCACATAGACCCATCCGCTGACATCCACGCCCAAATATCTTGAAATACATCTCTCCCCATACCTTCTCCCTCCAATCTGAATTCAATCTTTCATCACCTAATCTTTTTGTATCCTCATAACCTTACTCGTTCCTATATTCTCCTTTAATTTTTCTCTTTGCACATTGCACCCGACCAAATCATGCCACCAATCTCTCAACTTCTCTTTCAAATCTCCAAGAGCACAGTGCATCCAGCAAAGGGGGAAGAGCAGCTGTGACAACTCCCACTTTGTGTGTGTTTCTTTAACTTTTAACTCCACGCCTCTTGCCAAGACCCCGCATTTACTACCTTACAATCCCCATCTATTAAATATATTAAACAACCACGGTGACATCACACATCCTTGTCTAAGGCCTACGTTTACTGGGAAAAAAATTCCCTCCTTTCCTACATACTCTAACTTGAGCCTCATATCCTCGTAAAAACTCTTCTCTGCCGTTCAGTAACCTCCCGCCTA